GAACTGATAACACTGGCATAAGTGACTCATCAGGAAAGATGCCAAGAAATCAAACTATGGAAAGATGGCTTATCAAACTACAAGACTTTAATTAGGCTGTAGAATGAATTAAAGGAAAAGATAACACTATAGCAGATTGGCTAAGTAGACAGATGGAAATAGATAAAAATGGAAATCAGATTGTGAAACTAAATATTGGAATAAAAGATAAAAATATAAAGGCACCCAACAGAACAAACTTTAACCTGAAATCACCCAACGAAAATAAACCTAACCTTAACCTGAAAAAGGCAAATTTAATTAAAACAGATAAGAAAACATCTGATGGAAAAAACCAATATTTCCAATACTAGACCGATACCACCATATCACAAACTAAAAGAAATCTTTGAAGACGAATCAAAATGTATAAAATATTTGATGACTAAAGAAATACTACCTCAAGAAATGAAATGCCTAAATATTTATTGTTTATAGCAAATGGACTTGAAAAAAAAACTTTTTAAATGCCCAAATTGAGACTGTAGATTAAAGATATCATTATTCAATGGCACAATCTTTTCAAACACCAACCTATCTTGCAACCAAATATTATTAATTGGATATTATTGGCTTGCTAAAGCCAGAAAAAAGCAAATCAACATTTTTACGGAAATATCATTACCAACAATAACACACTGGACCAAAATATTTAGAACATGTGTAACCCAAGAGATAAGAGAATTTGAAAACAAAATAGGAGGCAAAGATGATATTGTAGAATGTGACGAATCAATATTTTACAAAGATAGAAAAAACAATAAAACAAATAAAGTATGAGTATTTGGAAGAATATCCTGAAACACAAAAGAATTTTTTGCAGAAGTGGTACTAGATAGAACATCTGAAACATTATTAGACTTAATCCAAAAATACATATATCCAGAATCGAAGATCTATACAGATATGTTCAAAAGTTATGACAAAATATACGAACGGCTGAATATTGCACACCACCAAATAAATCACAGCAAAGGAATAACTGTAACAGAAATAGATGAAAGATTGAATGAACTAAAAATAATGCACACAAACAATATTGAATGCACTTGGTGAATTCTTAAAGATAACATACCAGGCCAAAACTATAATAAGAAAGATTTATCTTATTATTTATTTGAACACATCTTCAAACACCAAAATAAACAAAGATTATGGGACACGTTTATTGAATGTTTACATGACACAAATAAAGAACTCATTGACAAAATACAATCAATAAGTAATACAAATTCAGATTTGGAATAAACTACTAATAAGAAATAATTATATAAAGACACCCCAAACAACTAACTGAAGGACATTCAAAACATAACAGAAAAACTACAACAAACCCTAAATGGTAGATACCCAACACGTAGTCAAAGAATTAAAAAGGAACCAAAGAATAATTAAGAAACAAATTGAACAACTTAAGAATTTAGTACCCAGAATTATTACTCTAAAAGAACTTGACTGGAAGAAACCGAATTTTGGATACAATCTAGAATAAATAACCCAAATACTATAACCTGTTTTACCTTAACAGTATTAAGAAGTAAATTAAATAATCAAGACCTATATGACCAACTGCTAGGAACAGATAAACCATTCAGAGCTTAAACAAGAACCAAAATTAGAAAACTATAATATAACTTAAATTAAGAAGTCATAAATAACAACCATATCCTATACTGAAGAATGACAAAAAATTGAAAACAGTTTACTGTTCAAAGAATTTAACAAACCTAAAAAGAAAAAAGATCTTGAAGACTTTGATAAATATCTAATTATCTAATTATCCTAGGAGCAATAGCCCTTGCAGAACAGAAACCAGAAGACTTTGAACACAGATATTGGATAAATAACTTGATACAAAAACAATTGCGAAGTGGATTAGAACTAAGACCAGATTTTAATTTAACAAACTTCAGATCAATCTGACTAACCCCAATAAAAACTAAAGATGTCAAAAAGGAAATAAATCAAAAACTAAACAAAAATATTATCTAGAACAATTGGAAAGGTTATACTCAGCAAACCAACGAGGAAGCTATTATTAAATGATTAAAGCAGAAATAACTAAAAGCAAACTTGGAACATTAATTGACGAAATAATTAAAGAACTTGAACGAAACCAAAACCTAATTAATGAAGAAAAGAAAACAGAAATCTTAACAAAAATAAGAAACGCAAAATCAGAAGAACTAACATTTAAAGAAGAACAAAAAGTAATAATAGAATATATTTAAAAACTAACCTTTGAAGAACAAAACAAAATTAGAAATTACCACCAGAAAACTGATACTATAAACTGGTTAAGAAAATGACTTAATACAGATGCATTACACCACTGTATTAACTGCAACTTAGACTGAAGATACGAAAGCTATAATTCACATAACTGTAACTATGACAGTAAACCAGGAAAAGAACTAAGAAGCCTTTATAAAATAACAATACAAGAACTCAAAAAACTAGAAAAGGAAGAAAACTTCTTTATTACCTCAAAAAGAACAAAAGATTTGATAGATAATATAAATAAACAAACTTTTAGACCAGCAAAACCAAACTCGACCTACACTGAAGAAAGGGAAAGAACCATTAAAAAAATAATTGAACTAACAAGGACTAACCTTAAAGAACTTATAGGAAAAACTAAAATGAATGAACCAAATTACTGCCAATGGTGTAAAAAACATGTTGAAGATCTAGAAAACCATAATTGTCAAACTATAAGAGATCAAGCAACACTCTTAACAATGTATCAAACAGGAATAAACGAAAATGAATTAACAACAGTACAAATTGCAATAAGACTTGAAAATGAAGAAAACAAAGCAAACTACTATAAAAAATGCGATAAGTATGTAAACAACCCAGGAGAACACCTCATACGATTTCACCACATGGATAAAGAATTAGAAAATGCAAGTTTAGAACAAACTAGAGAATACAATAAAGAAATTCAAGAAATTTCGGAAAAAGAATTTAAGAACTATAACCAAATAACAATTGAAGAAAGAATGGCAACAGCATTCAATAAATATCAAGAAAATAATGAAGAAACCTTTAACAAGACCTTAGAAGAAATCAGACAAAGACAAAGCACGAAAGAATATACTTGTGGAGTCTGCAAAAGAAAAGAATATACAAATAGATACTGCCCAGACCAAAAATGTTTCACATGTAATAAAAAAGGCTACCAATCAAGAAATTGTCTGAACAAAACAAACTCGAACCAATCAAATTATAATCTGAGAAGATCTTACAGTGACCCAAATTGGAATAACCAAATATGATTATCTCAAAGAGAATTTATATGCAAATTTTGTGGAAAAAATTATAGAAACGAAAACTGTAAAATGTACAGAGTACTAAAAGAAAATGGAAGTTTACTATGTAGATGTGATGCAGAAGAAATCTTACTAAGATAACAACAATATACAGAATGGGCCTCATATTCAAAAAGCTGAGACCACCACCATTGCTGCAACTGCAGTAAACCTACAGCATCTGTAAACTTATACTATATACAAGGACTATACAAATAACCAAGAAATCTTGAACCTATATTCCTACCAGAACAAATAATGTGTAATGGATGTTACCGTGAATACTTAGAAGAACTTGATATCAGAGATGAACGAGCTCAAAAATACTATCAGACTATAAAACAAGGAAGACTTGTAACTGCTATTTATATGGAAGACAAGGACTCAAGAGAAAAATGGAAGATTGGCAAACTTGATTCTTTTGTAATAAAGAAGAGAAATTTGCAAACCTTATCTACCAACTGGAAGAACAAATTACAGATAATAGAGAAATAATGAAAAAAATCCATACATATACCAGAAACCAAATGAATATATATTACTATATCAACGAATCAAAAATCAGAAGAATTTATAAATATATGACTGAAACAGACCAATAGGACCATAACAACCCAAACTTCAAAATCATTATCGACGAACAAACAGATGATATTATGAACTATCATCGATATTATCAAAATGAGAATGAAGAAATTACTGAAGAAGACTATGAAAAATATGATAGTGATACCGACAGACTAGCATCAGGAATAGCAAATTCAATGATCATAAATGTAAAAGAAAAAGAAAAACTAGACGATTACCAAGAATTAATGGAAATATTATGAACTATCATCGATATTATCAAAATGAGAATGAAGAAATTACTGAAGAAGACTATGAAAAATATGATAGTGATACCGACAGACTAGCATCAGGAATAGCAAATTCAATGATTATAAATGTAAAAGAAAAAGAAAAACTAGACGATTACCAAGAATTAATGGAAATACAAGCATGGAATTTATACAAAGCATGTTTAATACCAATATCATAAGTATACATTGAAAATAGAGACTACCGAAATGAATACTGTTTAGAATACCTTATGGAAATTGAAGAGAAAACAATCAACTTAGACAAAGAAGAAAAAGACTTTGAAGAACACAAAGAAGAAATACGAAAAATAGAAAAAAGCTTAGAATTAGTCAAAGAAAAAAGAAAAAAGGAACTTGGAATTGAAGGACATATTGAAGAAATAGACCTAGTCAAAATATCGTATAGAGAAAAATTGCAAAAAGGAATACAATGGTATAGAGAAAGTTAAGAGGGATATGAAGAAAATGATGAATTCAAGTATGAACCACAAAACATTGAAGAATTAGATGAATATATTGAAAAAATCACAAGAGACCAATACCAAGAAGACATATCCCAAAACGCTTTAGAACTAAAAAAGTTAACACTAATAGTATTGAACCTACAATCAAAAAACGAAGCAGAAAATAAAGAACTGAAACAAAGACTGTTAATACTTGAAAAATTGACTCTAAAATCAATACTACAAATTGAAACCCTAGAAACGGAAGTAAAAGATTTCAAAAATGAAAACCATGTACTCAAAAAAAGAATTGAGCATTTGGAAGAAAGTACCAGAAAAACTGTTAAATTCAGCACAAGCACATCAACAAATGACAAATATTAAATATTACCATATTTAGCTTATCATATAATTAGCCCACCTATTTATCAAAACAATATTGTTATCTTTATATTATACCTTATTACAAATATTTACCTTGGCAAAATACGCCAAACCAAGAACAATATAACAAAAACCAATAGACAATAGTAAAACGGAAAATATAAAAAGACCAACAATCAGACCTGACCTAGACCATGCAAATGCATACAAAAAATATAAATTCAAAAAACCATTATAAGAAATATACAAGAAACTCTCAAAGAAATACCAAAGCCTGTGACAATTGTAGAAATTCAAGAATAAGGTGTACTTA